AGCTCTGCTCAGCACACACTTCATGCAAGATGAAGACATTTGGCCTTTTCTCTGTTATCCTCCTCACAAGAAGACGACATGACCATGTTGGGAGGATGGCCTGGGAGGAAGGATTCTCCTCTGTCCACTCCAGGTGGCAGTTCTCCGGAGCCAGGCTCCGATGCCACAGACCTGCTGCTGGGACTAGCCAGGCCTTGTTGCAAGATGAGGATGACAGCAGCATGGCTGAACACCAGGGTCAAAACCAAGCTGCTTGGTGAGAGGGGAGACTTCATGGATCCTGATTTCCTGCGACTCTGTGTCTCATGGTTGGGTTATCTCCTGGCTAATACGGCATATGAAAGGTATTCCCACAGTTTGGGGCACTCATGATGGCTTTCTTCAGGTGGATTTCTTGATGTCTGATAATAGAGGTCATGGTGAATCCATTTCCTCGGTGAGGACTCAAGCTTGGCTCTCTGCCTGCTCAGATGCCTTTTTATTTTTCATAAAACAATAAATAAAATGGAATTTTTCCAGTCGCTAGGGCTGGACGGCATGGACAGACAGACAGGTACACGCACATATCCACACACCTACCATTTCCTCCTGGATTCAGGCCAGTGAGAACAAATGAGCAACCTTAACTTTGCCCCGTTGTGTCCAGTCCTTACAACACAGTCTTGAAAGACAGGACCAAGGGCTTTTTTCTGCAAGTGTGCAATGGCAGATGCTTTTTCCTGAAGCTTCAGGCTCACACATGTAACACACTGTTGTTAAAACTGGGTCTTGCTCCCTGCACACAAAGGAAAGCTGTGTGTGAGGTTAGCTCAACTTTGGCATCCAGCATTAAGCCACACAGGCTCCGTAGACTTTTGTTTGTTTTTATAGAGTTGCTTATAGAGCATCCCTCCTGCAATATCCCTGAGGACCGTAACAGTCAGACACACCAGCTGGAGGAGAACTGCTTCATGCACTGCCAGATATACCCTGTAGAAATCATAACGCAGCCACCTCCGGGGTGTAACCCCACAAATGCTTCACGGCTTGCAGCAATACCCTGAAGCAGCATGAATGGAGACAAGGGGACCTAATCAGAAAGGTAATTTGAAAGGATGCACTGGTTCATTACACAAACTTCCTCCTCTTCGTTTCCTGCCTCATCTTTCCTCCCTTAGCATGGCTCTCCAATGGATTTTCTTCTGCCAGTGTTTTTGTATTTGTGTCAGACCTAGCCAAAGGCTCCTTCTGCCTGAAAATGGCCATTTGTCCCAGTATGTTATTGTCTCTCTCCTGGAAGGTCAGAAGAGGGGTGGATTTTATTCCACTGTGGTTAATGATAGTTCCTGGTGCCGGGACATGGTAGCAGGCACTGCCAAAGCTCACCTGAGATGTAAGGGGGGATCTCTGCAGCACTCAGGGAAGGTTGGAGACCTCAGCACACCTTCGAAAGCCACCTATGAGGAAAGGCATTTGGCTGCGTGACATTCACAGGTCCTCAGAGAAAGGCCAGCAGTTCCTTCCCTCCCAGAACGCCTATGGAGAGAGCCTGAACATGAGCATGTGCCAGTGCATCCTTGGACAAGCAAGATGGGAGCCAAAGTGCAAGGAAGAGCTGGGCTTGGCTCCACGCTGGTGCCGCTGCCTTCTTGCTCCTTCAGAGAGACCCGGGAGCTGCCGGGCGCCCCGGGCCGTGGTGGCAGCGCCTGCTGCCCGGGGCGGCCCGGTGCCCGGGGGTGCC